TGGAGGAACAGAGGGATGGAGGGATGGAGGAGCAGAGAGATGGGGGAGCAGTGAGAGGAACAGAGGGATGGAGGCACAGAGGGATGGAGGGGCAGAGAGAGGAACAGAGGGATGGAGGGGCTGAGGGATGGAGGCACAGAGGGATAAAGCCCCAGTGTCAGAAGCAGGAAAAGGGGAATTTCCAGCAGAACAGGAAGCAGGAGGGGGTGTCACAGCTCGGCACAGGTGCCTGTGTGTGGGAAGAGCATTTGGGATTCAGCTCTGTCCCCCTGCAGCGAGCAGCTGCAGCCCCTGCTGCTGTCCCCAGCCTGACCCGCTCACCCCAGTGCCAGGGCTGGATCCCGGATCCTGGGCAGATAATGGAGGAACCAGGCAGCTCTGTGCTCATCACACTTGTTCTGCCGCACTGGAACCCTCTGGCTGTTTGGAACCATTCCCTTTTCCTTCCCAGTGAGAGTTTGCCAATAACCATACATTTTCAAAGGGGCAAATATTCACCTCTGGCTGATGGACACGGATCAGAGTGAGAATATCCCAATTCCGTGGAATGTTTACTAAAACATTGCCAGCATCCCTCTGCAAGCCCCAGGTTGTGTCCCTTGTCCTGTGAAGCCAAAGCCCCCAGAGGCTGCTCCTCCTGCACCCAGAGGCCCTTCAGGGACACTGTGGTGTCACTGCCTGGGGATTGTGGCTCCCTGAGCCGCTGACAGTGCAGGTTTCTTTCTTCTGGAGAAGTTTTCCTTAAAACAAAAGTTTTCCTTTGAAAATGTAGTTTGACGGTATCTGGTGTGGAGGCACTGACTGAATTTAAACAGGTGTTTGTTTTCTGCGGCTCCTGCCCATTTCTCAGAGCTTTGGCTCATTTTTCCAGCAGTTCCTCTGTACCAGGGTCAGTTCTGGGGCAAGAAGTGCCAGTTTCAGTTCTGCCACCGTGTGTTGCCATTGTGTGGGTCAGCCCCTGGCACACAGCACCAACAAGAGCCAGGGCCAGCAGTGCAGCCAAGGTGACCCCCAAGTCCCTGGGCTGGGGCAGGGCAGACGTGCTGGGTCGTGTTTAAGAATAATTTTAGTTGCAATTTTCAGGAGAACAACATTTTTCTTTTTGGAATTGTGGGGGGTTGAGCAGCTTTATGTGAAATCTGCAGGCAAGATGAAAGCCTGTTTTTCCCCTTTATTAAATTTAAATGAAGGCTGCTTTTGAGAAAGAAAGGAAAATAAAATCAAAGGTTTTCTCACAAATATCAGATACATTATCAGCCATTTTCTGGTAAAAAGTCTTGAACAGGTTTAATCCCCCCTTCCCCAGTGAGAGCCCTGCAATGGGGGCCCTGCAATGGGGATCCTGCAATGGGGGTAGCCAGGAGCAGGTCCTAAATGTCCTCTGTGCCGTGGCACCGGGCTTGTCAGGCGGCCTGGGAAGCTGTGCAGGGTCGGGTGACACAAAGTGCTGCAGGTGCCAGCTCTGGCACTGGCTCTGGGCACTGGCACTGGGCACTGGCACTGGGCAATGGCACTGGCTCTGGGCACTGCCCTGCCCCTGCCAGGCTGGGTGGGCTCCTGCTCACCTGCTGGGGGCTGCTGCTCCCTGAGAGAGCTCAAATCCATCCCCAAACCCTTTGGATTTGGGCACTGGGCCTCCCTTCCCTGCAGCAGTGGTTGGGTGAGGGCTGGTGGGTGCTGCTGCCTCTGGGCTGCTGAGGGGAGCTGGGAGTGGGGCCAGGTGGCAAACAAGGGTCACTAATTGGTCACTAATTGGTCATTAATTGGCCACTAGCCCCTCCCTGGAGGCTGGGGGGCAGCTGGGGCTGTGCTCCCCCCCAGAGCCGCGCTGGAGCCGTGGCTTGGATGGCTCTGGGCTGTGGGTGCTCCCTTAGCTCAGACCCTTTGGGTCTCAGGTGTTACAGGCAAAGCTGTGGGTGCCAAGGTGAGGCTGCTGTGGGCCAGATGAAATGTTTGAATCCGTGCTGCCCAGCTGGGGATTTACCAGGCTCTTATCTCTAGAGTGGTGGTGCTGGCTGAGGAGCCGGGTGGGGTGGCACAAGGACTGGGCAGGTGGGTGAAACCAAGGGAGGTAAAACAGCAAAGGGAAGGGAAATGTGTCCACAGACACAGCACTTAGCCTGGTGGCTGGGAAATCTGAATCCAGCAAGGAATGTGCTGGGAGTGGAGAGCCTGGTGTGCAGATGCTGCTGCCAGAGACCCAGAGAGAGAGAAGTGAGTGTTTGGGGAGCTAACCATGGAGCAAGAGAGGGAAATAGAAGTAAAATAGCACAAAGAAGTGAAAGCCATGAAAAAAACCTACTGTGGGTGAGCAGGTGGTGAGTGAGGAGCTCTGAGTGGAGACTCTGAGGGGGCAGCCAGGCCAAGGGAGGGCAGGGTCTGCAGGATGTGCCAGGGCAGAGCTGGATCTTCCCTGATGTGTTGGGAAACACGGGAGCAGAGATTGCACCAAAACTAAACCTTGGAGTGGGAGGAGAAATGAAGAAAGAGCCCCAAATTTCACAGCCCCAGCGCTCAGG